AGTGGGTATGGAGCCGTCGGTCATATTCCAGATACTTCAAAAGCTTGGTATCAGCTGTATGTTCGTATATGGTACTATCAACAGATACAACAACACTTCCTCTGTCGAAGACGAGAAAAGATCAGGACGGCCGCGTGCTGTTAGAACTACAAAGGCTGTTAATGCTGTTAAAGCCAGAATTCGTCGAAACCCCATTAGGAAGCAAAAAATCTTATCATGGGGAATAAAGATTCCCGTTCACGTATTATAAAACAAGACCTGAAGCTCAGTGCTTATTGTTGATATACAGGACATGTCGTAAATCAATCTTTACCAGTAAAGAGAGTGGATCGCTCAAAATGCCTTCTGTCGCGATACGCAGGTGAAAGGCACAGAAATATCCTTTTAGTAAGTATATTAATATGGAATAAAAATAATACTACTGGATAGTGGTATTATTGCCGCGTGGTCCCGACATAGAATCGACCACCCCTTCCTTTCTCGTGGGCATCGAAAGAGGCAACTAAGGAAACAATGGTTAAAGGATGGCAGCGGCCTTCCTAAAATATCACTAAAAGCCTAAATGAGGTTGCCAACCCGTCTGTCAACCGTGGTAACTACTAAAAAACCCTCCTTATGGGGGAGTCCTATGTTCAGCACATGATAGTAGTATTATTGTTGTTCCACATTAATCAATTATTGTGACTTTTATTTATATTTACTTTTATTTTATTTATACATAAAGTGTAGTTAACACTTTATATACTCGTATTTGTATATGTGAACCCTTTACAATTTACTGATATGGATGGAAATGGAGTCGTGTGTAAATTATTATGAGCATGTGATGTGAAAGATCTTTCGAGGGCATATTATTCGTCATTAATTCTAATATTGCAAATGGTCAAGTCATGATAAATGAACTATGATTTCTATGCCGAGAGAATTGATTTTTATACATATTCTCTAAGATATATTTTTATCTTTTAATATTTTTTTACATTATCTTTTAATATTATTTTTTATTACAGTAATAAATAAAGTAATATACAAGAACATATCATACCGCAATATTTAGTTTCAAACTAAGCAGAAATTGTACTACTTACTAGTAGTAATTATAATGTATATCTATTATGATAATTGTCAAGACCAACACAAATAAATATTTATAAATATAAATATTTGTGATTGAATAAACACTCAATTATTAAAAGGGTGTTATTTTTATGTTTATATTATTAATAAAAAAATCTTTATTTTATACTCAAATACAGTATACAGAAGGGAATATTAAATTTTTATTATGTTTTAGCGTTGGAAAATTTCGAAGGTATTTCTATTAATGAAGTAGTAATAATTGATAATTAATACATCTGCATAGTTAACTCGTACTAATAGACTCCTAAATTGTTTTGCAGGTATATTCTACCTAAATGAGCGCAGAGAATCAAACAATAATTATATTTTATCAATGAACATATTAATTACTACGTACTTATTTTGTTATGTCCGTAACCATCTATATAAAAGTAAAATTTGAAATATAAATATATTTTTCGTCAAAAAGCTTTTAAATTAAAATCATATGCCAAATACAATACAGTAATAAAAGTGAAAAATATTGTAGTAACCGCTTACCATCAGGTGGGCCGTATGCTCGTTTGCCACCTCGACGTATTACTTATTTTTACTCAAGGACATAGGTACATTTTAAGCTTTTATTGGAAACTAGTTTTCTTTCCGCTACTTCGTTTGTACGAAGTAGTAAGAAAATAAATTTCAGAAATAGGAAAACAATGAAATAGACCACTTCTAAATGCAATATGAAGATTAAGTATATACCGATTTTTTATTTTGACTTTCAGGAATACTGCATCTAATTTGGTACATTACATTTTGCGTGATACTGGAACTAACATACAAACAAAATTAGACAGACAGACAACATTTCTAAAAATGATTGTTTTGGATTGTATTGCTCTTATATCATAAAACCCCTTATATTATTTTGTCTTAAATATCTTCCATATATAGATATCGTCTTATTACAATTTTATTATAGATATTTATATTTTAGTACTATCGCTTATAGTGTGATATGCAAGATAAGATTTTATTAGGCGAGTGTCTAAAATATAAAAAAAGAATATAAAATGATAGGACCTAATATTCCTAATGATACAGATAGGAGTAAAAGGAAATTTCCAAAAAAATTGTATATGGCCAAACATCATGTACACCTATTATATCCTATATTTAAAGCACTTTTTTTTAATTACTCTAAGAAATTAATTCTTCAAGTAAAAATAATATGTGAGTATTAACAAGGACTCTCACTGAATACTGCAAACTAAACAAGCATATGGCCCAAAAAGTGTTTGCAGATTTTGTTTCAATGAGGAAGAAACGCTGCAGTACTTGTGGCTGTAGCCCAATCATACATAAACGATATATCTCCTTTGAAAAACACATTTTATACCCTGAGGAGCTAAAAAAACATCGCTATAAAAACATCTTAAATTTCCTATCATTGATTGGAATTAGCAGCAAACTTAAAAAAAGGGGCGAGCACAAAAGATAATGGAAAAGTCGCTGTGTTACAGGTTTTTCTGTCGGAAAAAGTTCGTATTTTAATAATAATAATAATAATATCCATTATTTTCGGGCCAAGAGGAGCACTGTAATGTAGGGCATAATATTCGTACCTATATTATAACAAACCGCACGGATGCCTTTCAGCGAGCGGCCAGATTTCGCCCGAGGCTATCACAAACAAACTCAAACTTTGCTTTTAAGACCACCCAACAATTTGTTATATGCAAACTTTATATTTAAAGTAACTTCCCATATTAGCACTCTGATTCTACGTATAACATGTAAAAGTCTACAGCTATTCGAAAACTTCATTTGAAAATGTTACATCAAAACATATGAAATAAAAACCGTAGCTTATACCAACAATTTGCTAAACTATCAGGTTATAAAAGTTAATAGAATAATACTGAAAAATGTATAGATGTGTAGATAAAAATAGAATGGTAATCCCATCTGGATAATTGGTATGCGCTAGCGAGGTATCAGTAGGGATAATAGGTAAAAATGGAATCAAGTAAGTTGGGTCAACACGATTAATTCATTATAATTTAAAGAAATAACTCTAACAGAGAACTGTGTATAGTTCTATTGATAGCAATGGGCTGCTAGCTCTATTAGTTAGAAAGAATAAAAAAAAAGTATTGTGAAAAGGGAAAAATGATATGAATTGTTGAAATCTGATAACCAACGCGAATTCAATGTAGCGTCGACTATAACAAAGAAGAGAAACTGTAGTGTTACAAACAGGTGAACAGTAACCTTACAATTGTATGATGTAGTAACCTAACAGATTGTTATTTTATTTTAAGAAAGCAACCACACTGTAGCTGCCGACAACAAAAAGCAGTGAAAAGTAAATTATTGGCTTTGTTGCGAACCTGCACTTCTGTAGCCATAAAATTATTGACTTCAAGTTAAATTTATTATAGAACACCTACATTAAATGCCGCAAGTTAGATATTTTATGGAGATGACTTTCCTCTTTGGATTAAAAATATTGTACAGTTTATAGCTACTTTCATCTATTTAATAACTCTTTATTAATAATTAATATGCCCTTTAGCGGATCTCGAAAAGTTTGTAAGTAGGTTCTCTTAGTATCTCTATAATATTTTGGTATATGTCCTATCTATCTTTTATTAATATAATTAGACAGCTTCCTATAAATTTGACCACTAATATTTATAAATATGTCTGAGTACTACTTATACCTATACTAAACTTATAAAATTAAGTTGGGCACATGAACAAAAACTAAGAATTTAAAGAGTTATTTATTATTTAGTTGATAACAGAATTTTTGAAATTCAGATCTATCAAGATAGTATAATGATAAAATTGTGTGTACTGTATAGTTCCGACATAGAATAGGCCATTCCTTCCTTACTGGTGGGTGTCATAGGAGGCGGTTAAGGCAACCTAAGGATCGATGGATGAGCAGCAGCGTCTCTCTTAAAACATCACCTACGCTTAACTGCAGTTGCGGCAAAACCGCAGTTGCCCCAATAGGAAGGCCTATGTTCAGCAAAGAACAATGAACGGTTAATTTTTATTATGAACGGTTAGTTTTGGTGGGTATGGTAACATTTGAGCGTTATGTAAACGTATGTTATGGTAGCAGAGTCTTCCTTTTCATTGTCAGAACGTAAGAGGCAACCAAGTAAATAAAGCATACCAATATAAGAAAAGAAAAATAGAAATTAAACAATGTGGTCCACGTCACGTGGTAAATTTTTATATGATAGAACTAAATTAGGCCGTGAAACTCATATTTTTCAATGAGAGAAATACCTTTCCACAATCTATCTTGGTTAATTATTGAGTTAGAAAGTGGGAGGAAAAAACTTTAACATCAACTTTCGTTTTAACCTTTTTTATTCGTGTCGGAAACAGATTTGTTTAAACAACTGTGCCAACTTTAAAGGCGGCAGTATTTTTTAAATCTGTAGATATGAAAAGTAAAATCTTTTTGTTATTCGTTCTCTTTTTACTGATCATCACTTTTGGCATACGCCGTGACTTTCACCCCTTTATTAATTTATATTTCTGAAATACACATAAACCTATACAATTAAAATACACATATTAAACCAAGATAAGTGTAATAGAAAAGGCAGAACTAATGCGTCATGCTTGATTCGACCATGAGTAATCTATTTTTGCCGACATAGTAACTGCTCAATAAATGATTTTCTCTATAATGGTGGGATTCTCTACTGTTTATTGTGGACTCGATCTTGTACTATGATTGATTGAGGCTTAGGTGGAACTCTTCCAAGAGGAAATTACATCGTTATTTTACTAAGTAGTCGGGAATGCCTGTACTGTGTTATTATATTCCTAAAGACGTTTATTATGATACTATGATGTGTCACATTTTGTACGTTGACTAAATAGGTTAGGGGAATAGAAAATATACAAAGTAAATTTCAACATCTTTTATTTTACTCTATCTCTTCTTAATATTTTACACAAATTTCACAATAAATTTTATATTTACAGATTCTTAACATTTTCACGAAATATGTTTGGTAAGATTAAAGAAAATAAATCTTAATTTGGTATAAACATACAATATAAAGATTGATATATTTATGTTTGTCATAGTACCAGTGTGTTCAGTACGTATAGTACTCATAGTATGGTAAAAGAAAACTTCAACAGATAATAAAATAATTCATCAGTCTTTCACAAGGGTACGATTGTAGTACTAATCATAACCTCTTAATAGCTCTTGTTAAACAAACGAATTACGCTATAATACTATGTTTGTGAACTTTGGAGTATGTACGTTTATTTTTTATTAATTTTTACAATTATCCTTAAGCTTATCACATTTTATTTAAAACTTATAATCTATTTATAGCTCTATTCATTTCATCTAACTTTTATTCACATCAAAGGACGATCACATTTAAAAAATTTAAAATTTAAAACCAACTCTGTTAATATTTGATATTTTTAACATAACAGCATTGCAAATAAATTCTATTGTATCGTAAATATTCGTCATAAATAACTGCTTTAAGTAATGATTGGCTTTGAACTTGTAGTTTTTTTTTAATAAATTGAAACAATCCTTTGCGCTTTATATCGTATATATTTGTGCGTCGCACCGAAGGAATTCTTAGTAATCTATTTTGGCCAGTTTGACCTACAACTAATGACATGTACGAGAATCTACCTATACAAAACTGTTCCCAAAACTGAACGTCAAGTCATCTTGTAGATGATATCTAAAGACAATAACAGAAGATAAATTCATACTATCATTAATTTAGATATGTTCAATGGATTTGTACAAAATGAGAAACGTTATATTTATACAAAATTCAAATACTTAAAATTAAATTTGTACTTATCTAAACAAATTTAGCAAGTAAACTACCGGATATTGTATAAAAATGGCACCAAGGATGCAGATATCCTCCAGGTACTAGAGAAAAAGGAATCTGAAAAGAAAAAAAAAATGATTAGATTTATTTTTTATAATTAAAGTAATAAATTATAAAACACTAGTAGTACCCTCAACTTTGCTCCTAGTACCGGGATATATTGATTGACTGAGTTTAAAGTAATCTACAACCTTCTTCGCATCAAATATGAAATGTAAGTCAAATTTCATAAATTTTGATAAAATTGTCAAAACTCTAAAATGTAATAAACAACAGATCAACTCATTTTAATTTATTTACACTATTGTTAGTATGGATAAAGTGCCAATTGTATTTAAATTATTGGAAATACATACATTATAGGATTTCGCATGTATTTGTATTTTTTAAACACAACATAAGTACTTACAATGTAAATATATTATTAATCATTAGTTGTTTTTAGTAATTCGGATTATAAAAAAAAAGAGAATCAATGACCAACCTATCACCAGAGGAATGTTTTTCAGTCAACTAACATTTGAATTACAAACACAATTTAATATTTATACATAATTATTTTATCTTTTCTGACTCCTTTTGGAAAATCTTTAATGCTTTACGATATTTGCAATATAGTGTGTGGTATATTCAATTAAATTTCTGAAAATTAGTTACCATATCTACATTATTAATAATTGCGGTAAATACAAATCTGTATCTATACCAGGCTATTCTGAGACTTAATTGAAATTTAATTCAATACCTATCTAAAATTAGGCAAGTTACTATATCAATAACGATTACTTACCTGTAGCACTATTACGGACTCCTAACACTGAAGCAACTTCTGGTTGCTCCACATCGAAAATTAGTTCGGAGCGTGCTGCATAGAGATTGTATATGCTAGCTATACAGGTCAACCGGAGACTGCCTCGCTCGAATGCCTCGTTCCGAACTACAAAAGACACCTCGCTCACAGATGGCAACCTATTATCCGGTTCTATCCTCTCAAATGATACTTTTGGGTTTTCTTTGGGAGGACGCCTTATCTCTTCTTTAAGTAGATTGATATAAGACTCGTCCAAATATTGCATGTTGTTTTCATCATGAAATATATTAAAGTTCATATCATCCTCTGGTTGCACCGTAGTTGTTATTTCGGGTTTTGGTGGCGGGTCCCATTTGAACCAGTCTGGTAACTCGTGAACGAGAGATTCCATGTCGATCTAAGAGAAGGATAAGTAATTATATATTATTATTTAGATTAATTAAAATAAGTATTATTTAAGAAACAATAAAATAAAATAATTTTTAAAATTATGAAAAATTATTTTATTTTTTTTGAGGGGGCCACAGCCCCGGCGCCCTCAAAAAAATAAACATTATTTTTTTGAGGGGGCCGGGGCTGTGGCCCTTAACACAGGTTATTATATTAACCTATTTAAGAGCCCAGTTCTAAAACCACAGCTTAAAATTATAATATTAATAATAGTACTGTATATTATTAAAAGTATAGTTTATTACAAAAAAAAAAAAAAACATTTCACTCTCTTTATCTTTTCCTTCACACTACATAGGGAGTCAACTTTCTAAATAATTTTGCGCAATAACAGAAACATTGTATTATTTATTATAAATATTTATAAATTAACTGTAATCATTTGTAAGTATAAAATAACAATAATATAAAATAATAATAATTCATTTACCGAGAAATAGAGCTTGGTAATTAACGTGCACATCAATTTGTAATTGGAAAACTTTGACTTGTGAAGTATATAATAAGTACCTGTCTGAATATTGGCTGTCGAATTGCCTTTATATAAATTAATTAATTATTAAACGAGCATGGCGCGATTGTGCGAGAAATCTCACAGATGTAATACGAGATGGATAAAGGAAGGTTTGCTAAAAGCTTATCTCGCACAGAGCTGTTTTGTGATTAATGAACTCGCCTACGCAACGGGCAGCGCACAAAAACAACAGTAACGTCAAAGTGGAGTAAGTAGGTACCTACAGCTCTATTGTCCGCGAGCGGACATCTGGTGGCAGGCCCAACGATCTAGATACGGTTTAAATGTACTTTTTAAGGCTTGTTCCCGGTAAAATAATAAATTATGTCAATTTAATGTGGCAGATCTACAAAGAGAGATAAGTGCGTATCTACATGTAAAATGAGTTGACAATTTGCGTTTGAATCAGTATAATATAGGCAAGTGACGATTATGAAAAAATACAATATTATACGATCATATTATGAATTTTTAATTTTCAATTAAATATCATGATTATTTCTGATATACACTTTATAACTATGTTGTTATTGTTATTTTTCAGTAAATTAAAATTAATAAAAAGAGTAATTCGTTATATTATTATTGAAACAACTGTGTATACAACACAAATACCTACATATATGTCTTAACATTATTACTCCGAATGTCCACTTGACCTGCTGACCTTAATTTTAGTTAAACGACTTCTACGGGAAGTTCAAACATTTTAATTACTTTTTCCAACGTGCAACAGAGACAAATGTTAATGGGAATGAAGTTACTTCTAAAAAACATTAATATTATTAACATTATTAACATAAAATTAAAATCGAATAAATATAATAGATAGTGGAACATATCGTCATGTAGGTAACATGACTATATTTTCTGATATAAAAGTAATGTGCCAAATTTGTAAGTTATTGTTGCCCCATTAAATTAATATACTAGTTATATTGTAAATTCATGTATACGTGTTTTACAGTGAAGTGATGGACATTTTCTGCGAGCACATTTTCACTCTCTGTAAGCCGTGTACTGTATATTATTATTATTCATGAATAGACTAAAATATACGTCGGGGATTATCTCTTGTAGAACTTACCTTATGTGTCCATATTTAAAATATGGGAATATGAGGAAGGAAACATAAAATTTTGTCCGCGAACAGAATTTCATTTTAGCTCATACAGCTTGGCTTTTAGTGTTGTCACAATATCACTGTATTTGTCAAGAACAAGATTTAAAAATAGCTTTACCTCCTGGCCATTAAGCCCAAAGGTAAGATTTGCCGGTGGGTGCGCTGGCGGCGAGGCACAAGTAGCCCGAAGGGTGGATCCCACGTCGTACCACGACCGGTCTGACACCAACTTCGGGCCCCATTCCGGTGGCTCTGTAATAAAGATACATATCACCATCGGAAATAAATTACGTTTCCCAATATTTCATCTATTTAATTATACATTAAAGCATTTTCTTAGACATTTGATTTGCTAATTACGTCGGAGGTTGTTTCCGAAAATACTTCTAAATTATACCATTTGCATTTGAACGTTATACATTATTAATGTTAATCATAATTTGATGAGCTTGTAGAGGATTTTTAGGAGGAGTAAAGTAAATACGGTCAACATTATTAAATTGTTAATTTATTATACTACTTAATAAAACATTTTTATTGTTTATTTTAGATGCTTATATATTGCAAATTAAAACTTTGAAAACAAAATTTAAAAAGCGCTTAACAAGCGCGGATTGCAAGTGATGACTTATGGCCTTAAGACATATGATCCTGCATTGTCAGTCATACGAGTATATAAAAGCACCAAACTAATTGCTCAGTGAGATATGGTCGCGGTATCGTAGAGTAACAAAATTCGAGATGAAGGTATTCGTGTAAAATTAAAATGAACGATGTAACTTAAAGAATATAGAAAATAAAGGAAAAAGAGATTTAAGTCTATGAAAAAGAAAGGTCTACTTCTCAAGAAGTTACTTTAAAGTCATAGCGTAGGATAGCCCTTTCGTTTTTCTCTAAATAATTGTATAGAGATGGAGCAATGATTGAAAATATATTAGTATTCAATGAATGCAGGCGAGTTACAACACGTTTTTATGGTAATATGGGAGAACCTATGTTCAGTAATGAACAAAAAAAGTTAGTATAGCTAAAAATTATTATTGTAAAATGGCAATCACCATATTCAAATTTATATGACTTTCAAAACTATTAATTATTAGATAATTTTCATTAATTGTGACGCTTGTTTAACTTTGGTGGATCTTTTCATTGTACTTTTAACTTTAAGTTCCCAGTAAAGCTAATGTTTCCAAAAAATATAGAAAGAAGTATTTTATAATTCATTCTAGAGACATCATCTTTTCTGAATATTACTAATTAATATAATTTTCCATAAAGAAGAGAAGTTTTTACCCATCTGGCAACACTTTTTATTGACTAGAACCAGAAAACTTTTTATACAATTAGATTGATGATACATATTTACATGCCTTATCGCCAATCCGATTAATCGATCCAATATTACAATAATTAAATCCGTTATTCACTATTCGTATGTCAATTTTATGTAAGATTAATAAGCCTTTCATAATGCTATAAAGGCGAAAACAGTCAAATTATATTAAATAAAGAATTTAGGGATTAATGTTATCTAAAGTGATGATAATAATATACTCAAACTCCAGCAAGCGTTATAAAATAATATAATCAATCATACATTTAAGCTTATTTATAGAGAAGTCCATATAGTATCATTGTATTATCATCGTATTAATTCCAATAGTAAAGTAGTATCACAAAGACAGTGTCACCTCTTACCAGAGACTATACTCAAATTCTATTTATTACATTATGGAAATGTTATGTTTCTTGTATTAGTTACACTTAGCATAGTATTATATTATCTTTGGTTGTACTAAGTTGTCTTATAATTTAAATCAAAATGCAACAAGGCGTATATACATATGACTTGAAAGGTAAGATGGTTGGAATCTACCAGCCAGCAAGAGAATTCCTGAGAAAATGGGTCTTTGCGGTCAAATAAACTTTCATGTAGACAACAAAGAGAATATTGCCCCCGTTTCCACTAAAATATACCTATCTATGTTGCAAAATGTTGTATTTGTGACACGTATTGCGATATGTATATTAGTGGAATCTATTGACGACACATCTGATACGTATCTATAGTTTATGTGTAATAGAAATTAATTTTTAGGTTTCAATTAATGTTCTAAGATGTGGTTGTTCCAAAAAAAGAACATCGACTTCAATCATCAAAACCTAAATTAAAATTAAATTTTGATTTAAAAACTAAATTTATATTTTGATAAAATTTCTATGGAACCGATCTGAAAGTATATCTTTTTAGATAAAAAATAATTTTCGAAATTGGTTTAGAAATGACAATTTTCTAAGATAAAAAGCATAAAAAAATATAACCGAATTGAGAACCTTCGCCTTGTTTTGAAATCGGTGAAAAAGACGTTTTTAATAGACTTTTAAAATAGAAGATCTGTTGAACATTGTGATCATTCTGATCATTGTGATCAATATTATCCTATTTAAAAAATGTTATAAATGACATCTTATAACATATACTATGTTAAAAAGTAAAACTGTGTCACATAATCCATGTCGAATTACTTGAAACAAGCAAACTGAGAGACTGTATTATGTATCAATGAGACATGTGTAACCCGTAGGCCGCAACAATCAGGGAAAACGTCCCTTTAGGGCACCATCACATTAATTCCTTTAAACAAACGAGTCCACAATAGGCTATGAATAACAATAACTTTGTAACGTAATATTTTGCGAAGGTTTTGTATACTTAGTTCATTGTGCTGACACCCGGATATAAGATAGAAGAAACGTGCATTCTCGTGTGTTACATTCATTTGTCTGATTAGATTGTAATTATCTACACACGCTTTACTGGTTTGTAATGGCAAGTGTTCATTATAAGACTTTGATACTAATAGCTACATTTCATATAATTGAATATATATATATATATATATATATATATATATATATATATATATATATATATATATATATATATATATATATATATTCAATAATAATATGCAATAAAATATCTTAAACAAATAATACAGAAAGATATAAAAAATTTGATCAGACTATAAAATTATTAAAAAGATTATCTGTGTATAAGTTATACAGGATTGGATTTATATATAGAAATATAAAGTTTCGGTAAGCGCAGAACCATGTAATAGTTTCTATGTCGGGACATGATGCATGGCGTGACGTCCGTACTAATGCTGTTCTACAATTTCGTAGTGCACATGCAATGAACTTGTAACGAACCGTAGAATATATATCACATGTAACATAGTATATTTCATACATAATTTTAATATGTAGGTACGTAGTATTCTTATCAGATATAATCCGATTATTATGACTATATTAATTATCTGTTTCCGGTAATTGAGATTAATGCCCAGATTACAATTAAATATTATTTTATCATAGACGTATTAATTATTATACTAAAAAAAATATATATTGTTTTTTCATTCATTTATTAATATATAATGAAGTGTTTACTTTTTAATTTATACATACATACATACACACACACACACATATATATATATATATATATATATATATATATATATATATATATATATATATATATATAAAATCTGCCTATCCCAATGGGAGCCAGAACATATTTTTTAACTGAAGCCTTTTTCGCCAATAAATTGTCTGTCTTTAAAATAATTTTATATATCGAATATATCGAAGGTACCCTAATAATGCGTGTCACGCGTGCTTTTTGCTAGTTGTTTGTTTAATATTAATCTTTATCTACAGTATCAAGTTAGTACTTACTGATTATCCTTTTTCCGACTACCAAAGAAAGAATGATATTTTTATTTCTGGTAATGGATTTGTAAATGAGGTTTCGATAATACTGTACGAAAAGTAAGAATTTTAAAATAAATACGATGTCAACAATATATTTTACTGTTTTAATATGTAAATTACTAGCCGATAAATTTCCGTATGGTTACAATATCTTATTCTTTTAGTGAACTAATTAATATAAATATAAGATATATATAATAATATAATGCGTTATTTCTTATAATTTCGTGACATCTTAATTTTCATAGTTATCAAGGGCGCCATAGTCTATATATGAGACGCTTATCCCTTTCCGTTAGAAAAGGATAAGCGTCGCAAGCTTGTTTATTTTTTTTTAGTGCAATGAAAAAACACTACCCATAAATCTCTTCCTTCTCGGATTGTGATATTTATGGAAAATTGCGCGTTCATCACGTCACGTCGGAAGCAGTGGACAACATCTCAGTAATTACACTCTCTGAGATTACAAAAGCGAATATTATTTATAACCTAAAAGTTATTTGATGTAAACCAAACAATTATTGTCTATATATCTATAATATAATGAACACATTTATTTAATATTTTTACTACGGATCTATATTTATAATATTTGTCAGATCCGTCAGTATTCTACGACTATAACGATATATTATATAAATGGTATCTATCTATCTTTAAACTGCAACTTATTGATGTCTTCATAAAATCAAATATTTAACGTCATATTCATCCGCTATACTCGTGAATGGGTGCTTCTAGTAGGGACTATCTTTTCAAAATTACTGTGATAGGTTGTAACTTGGTAGCATTTTATTTTCTTTATTTGTATAAATATGAAGTTTGTGATAGTCATTTTATTCATTCATATTTTTTTATTGTAAACTTATATTTGAAACAAACAACAGCTGTGTTTCTAGCCCGTTCTTCTCAGCTGAAATTGTGAAATTCCGAACTGGGAGACAGTTTCAAAAAAAAGGTCTATTCAAAAATACTTATTATTAAGTTTATTTGAATAAAAAATATTTATAAATACAAAGACTAAAAGTTTGATATAAAACTATAGGTCAAATGGATAATTTTAATTATTTCTCTGTACCCATTTATACAGGTATTTACCCAAACTATAACAAAAAGATTGCATAATATTACATCCTGTCCACATATTTATAACCATACTTCGGATAAGCTTGAATTATTTTACTCTTCACAAGCGAAAAATCATATGCTAGCCAAATTATATGTCACATCAGCTAAATTGCTTCACAAAAACAGCTACAAATCACTATAAATGAAATCGCAAAATTTTGGACCTGAACAAGACACAAATTTGATGTTAAAATTACGTAATATATATCGTTTAAAAATATTAGAATATCGTTTTTGTGGTCTTTTATGGTAAGATTTTTGACGAACAAAATGTTAGGCTCCATTTACTAGACCGAATTCGGTATAACCAAAAACATGAAATTCAGGCGGAAAATCGAAATTTCAGTTCATGGTAGATCCCCTAAATATTACGCTAAGTGCCCTTGTGATGTGCATGACCTACTTGATGTTATGTGTTTGTTATTATATAGATAACCGAATTTCACGGTAGTAAAATTTACTACCAGAAGTTTAAATAACCGGAGCATTATTTAATGAATATTTTTTATGCAATTTCTATAACAATAATATTTTTAGAAAAGAAAATTTGCTATCAATTTCCTTGCAGCTTTAAGATCACCTGAGCAAAGTTTAGAAAAGGTGATAATCTCTGAGAGTAGCATCGATTGTATGGTATTATTTAAAATTATTATTATTTACAGTAATGTGGTATCTTCGTAGAAACTTACAAATTGAAGGTCACAAGCCTAAGTTCATCTGAAATTTGAAAGCGAGGATTTGGATTGCATTTTGTACTCGCCTTTGCTCCCAAAAGGATATAATAGAGGAAGTGCAGTAAAGCGGTAAATAAAGGCCATCAGTAACCAACAGCATTAGATTAAAAAAAAGAGTTTACTTAAGTAGTTACCATGTTTTTTTATTAAAAACAAAAAAGTTTTCAAAGCCGTAGAAAGGGTAACACTGATATTATACTCGTATTAATATCACCTGATGCGAATTAATTTGAATCGGCTTTACCTTACTCATGTTTATGAAATGTGAATAGATAAAATCGTAGATGGGAAATTTTAACTAAATAATTTTCAACTCTAAGGAAACTATAATTATCATCATGCATCATGATTCTCCGTAATTCATCATGACTAACAATAGTTATTATTTGAAAAATATAGATAACGACCATAATGATGACACGGTTTTTTTATATAATGTTGTTACCTACTAGCGATAATATTATAATCAGGAAGCTACAAACAGTAGGTACAAACTACTTAAAGAATGCCTACCGACGTTCAATAAAAGGTAGCGTAAATAACGCTCTGAAAAAAATGAATAGGTAATAAAATCATAATAATAACAATCAATTTTCTTTATTCCTTTAGAAATATCTCAGTAATCCATGTTTCCATAATCTAATCTGCGAGTTTTGGGGAGTATATTGATATTGTACAAGTATACAAAGCGATTGCTCCCCAATCTTTGCGAGCCGTAGGGTTTATATAATAGATTTGCCTAGCCAAAGGTTAGACTGTAATATCGAATGGAATAGTAAAAGTCAGAAGGCGGAAACAATTTCTTGGCATGCTTTCTCAACCATTATTTTTCCTTTTTTGACAAAGTTTATGTATCTATCTTCACGCCAAGTCTCATGTGGAGTAGGCAGAGAGAACCGAGTGTCAAAGGTCTATATTTTTACATGTATGCCTATACTTTCATAACTCACACGGTGCTCGCCGATTTCCAAGACTCTTGAACTAGACTCCTCCTTACGTTAAAATATGGTCTATATAATCGCCGTAGTAATTATAGGATTACAGTTTGAAAAATATCTAAATCTAAAGATAATAATCTACGGAGGAGGTGAGGATATGAGTAGTAATGGGGAATAGTTCCTGTATTTCTAGCAATAAACCCCGTCAGGTCGATCTTTATACTGTTTTCCCCTGTAAACAATCATTATTCATTCTCAAAACATCATGCCTATCAATCATCTCTCGCTTTTCTCATCAGAAGAAACCAATGGCGCCTTTCATTTTCATAGTTTAAAAGCCTGCAGAATCAGTAATTATACTGTCAGTCTTAAATTTTGTATGATAATATTTCAAAACATTACGCATCGCACACTATAAACTTGATAAAGTCATTACCCACCGACAACTTCTAAGGGCGCAGATCTTATTTCTGTGTGAAAGGTTGGTGCGTCCGCTGACGCCTCGCATCGAAAGCGTCCTGCCATCGCTGGGGTTGCTTGCTGCAGTACCACGCGTCGCGACCCAGAACGCGATATCTGTGACAAAACAGATATTTCTTCTAAAAACATAGTTAATGTAACATTTAATTTGCTTATACGTATACCATAAATATTTATTTTATACTATATATATTTATATTAGATATTACTTTGCCATCATTGTCCGCGTACTTGAAGTAAAATCCTAACTGCCATTAACAGAGATGAACAACATTGTGGATATCAAAAAATACAAAGTACTGTTTTATAGAGATATGTACTGAGAAATCTTATTTTACGTATAATTTTGTAAGTGATTTATGTGAAGAATTGTCCTTTTGCATATTTATGCTTTATTTGTTTGTTTTAACAATTTACCCTTACAAGTATCTAGTTTATTGTAGCTATATTTTGATCGTCATGATAACCACAATGTCCCGCTTAATATAGATCTCTCAATATTTCGCAATAAATGATAGCAAATATAACCTAAATAACATTTATAATTATATAATTCAATAAACCCATACTAATAAACATTATTTGTTATTTATTTCAATTTTAAAAGACGACACCAGGATCTAATTTTACACTTTCTGTATCACGTTCAAATATAAAAGGCACGAGGGACCCAAAGAATACATAAGTTATAGAATCACAAAACCAATATAATACCGTCCAGTTTGGTGACGATGCAATTTTCTGTTCTACCCCTCGAGGGATACGGCCAAGGGAATTACGACACGAGGCTAACTAGCCAGTCACCATATTAGTAGTTTGTATAGGTAGAACCGTCGAATCGCTGTAGCAACTAGGTAATATTTACGCGGCTACAAAAAAGTTCCCATTTAACTTTATACTTTTTGAGTATGTTACGCTAAATCTTAACTGATTTTGATATATCTTTTAAAAATCTGAGTATAAAGTTGGCTTCCATGTTGGTTCCGCTCGATAGGAATTTATGTCTTTTTACGTGGATAATCTTGAATTTATACTATAACTAACTTTTACTCGCGACTTTATTCGTAGTAATTGGGATGTTTACTGATCGGGATAAAAAGTAGCCTTATTCGTATAGTACGTATATCGTAGTATGTATACCAAATTGCATATTGATTGATTAAACCGCCAAGGCGATTTAAGATAACAAACTCACTTTCATGCTTATAATGATTATACATAACATATATTTTACTAAAAAATCCTCATAATATGAAATTGCTTCATTAAGCTGAGCATACGTTTCTAATAAATTGTCTATATTTCTTTTATTTGTCATAAAATTGTTTTTCATAAAGGATTTATCAAAAATCATATTGCGAAGATAATAGTATACTCGTAGTTAAGCTGAAACTTACTGTTATTTGCTACTTTTTCTCAGTAATATTTTTATAAGAATAAGACTATTATTATAAACGCTGAATAAAATAGATAAACGAATTTTTAAACGCAATATGAAAATACGCAGTAATTTTTATATCAAATAATGCTATGAAATCAGGTCAGGTATAACAGGTAAGGTTGAACAAGGCGATCGGATATTAATATTATTATTATTATTATCAACAATATGTTTATCTATCTGTCACAGTAAAGTTTATTTCCGTATCGTCCAATAACCTAGTTTATATTACATACTTACAAGGTTACTGAACGATACGAAAAACAAGTTGACTGAACTATATAACTATATCAATTCATAATATCCATTATTATATGCTTCAGATTGGTTTAGTATTGATGACCTTGGCGGTATCGTAGTTTAATATATCGCTTCACCTTCCGGTGGTCACAAGTTCAATCTTTGCACAATACAAACATTCGTATTTATGAATATGTTTTTATATTCGTCTGGGGATATTCTATGTATATATTTACAAAAAAAAGTATGTTAAAAAGGGGGAAATATTTAAAAACAAGAAGAATAGTAACAAATAACATAAAATATGTATGTTTATTAGTTGTTTAATACCTACTCATAGCACAAGTTCCGTTTAATTTATATTAATAGGAATAAATAACACTGTATCAGATGTCCACTGCTAAGCATAAGCCTTCCCCATAAAGGGAGTTTTGCCAGTAGTTGCCACGCTTAGTAGGCGGATTAGCAATCGCAGTTAGACTTTTAGAGATATTTTAAGAAGGACGCTGTTGTCCAAGCCTTAGCTACCTCTTACGATACCCACGGGAAAGGAAAGGACGGCCTATTCTGTGCCGGGACCACACGGCGGTACTTAAATTATTAGATAGAAAAAAAAATGAATATATCACTATTATCGTCTCATACTAAAATAATAAAGCGCTGTATAAGTTGCTCCCTATTTATTTTATCGTAATTCAACTATTTAAACAGTGAACATCTATCTCACTGTTGACTTCTAGAGATATAAGAATTTTAAATGAAACTTGGTTTAAATATTAAGCGAAAATATAACTCAATGCATCTGGGATGTTTGTTATAAGTTTGTTACCAGTCTACGTAGACTATATGTTATCATAGTATATAGAAAAGGATAAATCTTAACTAAAAGTACGCTAACGAGCCTCATGCTTGCAGCAGTCAGCATCGGGATCTTAATAAAGAAGGAAAATTCTAAATAAAACCCTGCATCAAACTATTTAGCAAGTATGGTAATAATAAGCTAATATTTGACTTGTTATGGGTGCCTTCACTGGACATATGCCAATAAGGCATATATTACGCAAGATGGGTCTATCTTCGGACACACTGTGCAGACTATGCGGGGAGAAATCGGAATCCATGGAACACTTGAAACTATGATTCATTAGCGAGCATGCGTTTGAGTCTACTGGGAATGGCTTATCCAAAGCCAGGGGACTACAGATATCTTAAATCGCGGGATATCGTAATAGTACATGTAACTTACATCAACTTCAATTCCAGGCAGTGGAAAGACCCTGGTGTGTGGTAGCTCTTTCGGAATATATCTGTAGAACTCTTCTCTCCCCCGGTACCATTTTACACTGTAGAGAGCTTCTTCGTCTTCTAACTCCCAACTACATTCTAAGGTGACGGTCTCACCGACTAGTACAGCACTGGGTACGTTAATCTCCAAATTATGAAGACATCGTACACCTGTAAATAAAAAAAAACCACAATTACTCGTGTATCATTTACCACAATCATTCAGATAAACACCTGGATCTGTGGCTATATATTTTATTTACTGCAGTAAATCTACCTGCACACATGAACTACGATCTTTATTTTATATTTGTAGTAGATTTTTGTAACAAGATATCTGTTTCAATCGATTTTTCATCGCCGAAAACCCCGTATATCAAAATTATCGAAATTGTTATGGCAGTTAAGGAGAACTCGAGGAAACACCTATTATGGAAAATGGCAAAAAAGTTGACGGCCTACCTGATGGTAATTTGTTATATAATCTTTGTTTTCCATCTAACATATGAAAAACACCATAGGTATCAGAAAAAATAACATAACGATACGTGGTACCCCTTTTATGGTGTTGATAACTACAGATTTAGTTTAATAGAACTTTTAGATTTATATCGTTATTAACTACATACTGCATATGGATTAACGGGATAGTATATTTATACTCTCTGGTTATACATGTACCTAGCAATTGTATAAAACTACTATATAGATACGTTGAATTGAGAGTGAAATTCAACAGTTGAAGGAACAATCCCATTTCAGTGAATTTATTATATATTGGTATACAATGATTTTATATTTATTGATTTCACCTAAAAGGTATTTATTTTATTAGATATATTTCCAGTATTGCGTATCAAATAATATTTTCGCCGCATACATACTTGAACGCCCCATTTAATTTATTAGGAATTGACTTTAGAAAGACTGTGAAATAACGATTTATTTTGTAATTTTTTTTTCTAATATATGGATTTAAAAATAGGTAGGTACTGGCCTACCCGTGCCAGTAGAGTAAAAAATTAATAATAATATTTTTTTATCGAAGTAGCAAGTTGGTCTTCTTGTAGGTGTTATTTTCTGTCTACGATCTAAGATGATATATTACAAAAAAATTTCCGCCTCACACACCTGTAAAAAAGGATGCCACAAGTACTATTTTTAATATATGTATACACATAGGCATAATAAACAAATATTTACTTATTCTGTTACAATTCTTTTTTCGTTATCAACAAGTCTTAATTTTGTAATTCATTGGCATTAAAACATACTAATACTAATTGTTTTATCTTGTTTATTGTTTATATTTCAGTCATTTTGTAATACTTTTATTGATTTTATCCATATCATAATAGAAAAATGAAAATATATTCGTAAATATATATTTAATAGAAGACGATACACGGCAAAATAGAATTCACGATTCGTCGTCTGAATTTAAACAATTACTGTGGGTAATCCTATACAATGATGAGTCAGTTTGTATATGATAGGATTAAGCATTTATTAACAATTAATCATAAATTTATCAAGTATTACAAATAACATTTAATTGCAAAATAAATAACACAATAATATTTCCCATTGAGAAAGTTACAGATAAATATTCTAGTGATATAATAAAAATAAATAACTGATGACAACATTAGAACACTTATTAATATCATATCAGAGTAGTTTAAAAAGTTCAATAAAATGCAATTTGTTATAGAAAAGGAAGAAGGAATCTTTTTAATTCAGTCGAACAACATATCCTGGTTACACAAACGAAGTCGCTGATAAAAGTTAGTATAGAATTTAATTAATTTTTAAATTAATTAAATATGTAAATTCTTTTTAATTTTTTTTTTAATTTTTCAATGTAAACTTGATTTTTTTTTTATTTTTCAATAAGAGCTTGAATTATTTATATAGTTCTCTGTAATATTAATGATTATATAATTGGCAAATAATGTTACAGATGTATTGAATAAAAGTTTGAGTCTATCATACATAGGTAAATAGGTAATACCTAAAAAATATCTATATTACGTGAATAACGTACTTGTGAACTAAGCTAGACCAGCCACCTTAGTAACTCTAAGCCTGTTTTTTTATATTAATTTGCTCTTTGCACCTCATTATTCTGTTTTATAATAGGCATAACTTACGTGTAAATTATATAATTATGCAATTACGAGAATCTCCATAAAAGATTAAATTTAATTTAAAAAATAATTTACTTCAAAATGTTTCGACAACATAAAATTCTGCGTCATAATTAATATTGTTCATTTAAATATTTATATATAAGTCCTTCAAAGTTTTGGAATTAATATTATACATTAGAAATTACCCTTTCAAACGTTGGCAGGTGGTGTGTAATCTTTAATTACACTTCAGAGGGTTAGATACGATAAATTAGCATAAACATATTCACCACACGTTGTATATTACCTAAAAATTATATCGTTTATTGAAACTTATAAATATTCATAAACTGATTGAAAATAAATACGAGTAAATGAAATAAATGTGATAACGTCTTTAATATCTGATGGTGTAGTCAAACATATTTATCGACTGTTATGTTGTACCTACATAACCGTTTCGGATCAATTGGTTTTGTTAACGACTTTTTTCATGACAAGCAAATTAGTTGGAAATTTAAATAGACAAATAAGTTTCTTGCATTGGCCAGATTTAACCTCAGGACTTTTAGAGTCTTCAATTTCTTAAAAGTTTGTCTAGTCTTAAAAAGGTGTAGCTAGGGGAACAAAAAGCTATACATACAACACAAAACTAGACTTAAAACTATACTAAACTCATTCATTCAGGTAGGCTTATATTCTCTCCATATGAAAGAGAGATCTGTACCCAATAGCAGGTGGTTCGTTATAGTACGGTCTAAAGTTATTAAAAGTTTTCATATAAACCATTAATTATTATGATAAGCGTTACATCCAGATCATCTGGACAAGTGGCAATCTTCCACCGAAAAAATATTTAAATATACATGTATATATACCACGAGATTCAGAAGGATATGCCCCAAGGATGAAAATGTAGCTATTCCGTGTTTATTTTTGAGATCTTAGCTCAAACAAATATCCTCCACAGAACTTAATTTTCCTTGACTCACTTAATCCATATTAAATACAAGAAGATTTTTTTGTATACTTAAATGAGGAGAAAATTTTCTTGCTTTCATTTTCTAAATGAAACCATAATGAGATGAAGAACTCTTGCCAAGTATCGCTATAAATATTTAATGTTGATGTTAAATTCGTCTGCTCTACAGCAATTACGTGAATCCTCATATGAATATCACGTGAATAAAAAAATCTAAGCACGTACGAGCCACCGCTTTTCCTTTCTAATAAAAATTCTTCGGAACTAATGAAAATCTGACCTTCTCTTGTATATCTTTCTTATTTATCCTGCACTAACTTTTATTGGGATTGTTTTCATTATACTAGGTCTATGTCTATCTACTTATCTGTATATCGGAATCTATTATCATGCTCCCACGTGTGTAATGTGTCGATGACGTCTTTATTAATATAAAATGCATTGTCATGATTAGTTGATATATTAGAACGAAGAACATCTACTGCGCCGATCCCAAATAAGCAAGGCAATGATGATCATGTGTTGTAATACTAATATATTCTGAGCTAGGAAATAAAAAGTCAGTATTAAATAGAATATATATTTATCTTTATCTATAAAATAAAGGGAACAATATTTTACTATTTCTTTTATAAGTAGGGTTGTCAGGATATTTGGATTCAGAGATGGGATGTACGAATACGTTGCATATCCGTAGCTTAAAGCTCATAAATATTACTTACTACTAAAGTTTTGTGTAATTCTCTTGAATAGGCATCAACGTCTTACCCAAAAATCTATTTCTACCATAGATAATAATGTAGTAATACGTAGTACGTAGTTAAATTTCTTTAGTACAAAAATAAACACTAAAATACCGTTTTTATTATAAAAAGTATACCTATATCTATCCTCATGCCAAATCCATTGCACGATAGGCAGGAAAAACTTAATTAAAGATTGTATCCTACTAAAACTGTAACAAAACAAGTTGTTTTAACATAAAAACTAAACTACTTTTCAGAAAAAGGAAGAATTTTCCAAATCGGTTTAGAACTAACGGCGTTATGATGTAACAAACATAAAAAAATGTAATCGAATTGAAAATCTCCTTCTTTTTGAAGTTTATTGAAAAATATAGGATTGAATAACTAAAATAATAGTATATGATTAGTTATGTATGTATGTTTTGTTTGAGAAGTATGGGAATCAAACCCATATGAATCTGAAATGAAGGCAATATGTTAAACTTCTATATAACAGAGGTCATCAATATATTAGCAAATATAGACAAATTTTAATTATTAGACATACTAATAATACACTTTTAAATTAGGTAAATCATAAAATTCGTCCATAATATTCTGCTATAATAAAAATTACGATAATTTATTTACAGATCGAGTTTCGTGCCTAAATACCATTCCTAAAAGCATCATACTCATAATTTTACTTTTTTCTTATTTATCCAGGCAATTACGACTATCTCGATCGTAATTGTCCCTAATCAGTACAGTACAATTATTTCACAAAATGTATTAATTATAAAGCATTCTTAAAATTAATAACATCGAAAAATAATAAAATATGAATTTATGCAGCAATACAAATATGCGTTACAAATATGCACAATTTGAATGTTAATAGAAACCTAATATAAACAAACACAAAATATTTACATATGAATGCAATAGATATTTTACAAATTTTTTGATAATAACATTACTTATACTTTTTATAATTTTAATGTACTATGATGAATATTAGGAAATATACCAGTCCATATGTAATGTAATGTAATCATATGAGACCTACTTCTGATATCATTTGTGAGCCCTTATAGCTTTCAAATAAATGCGATAAATTTATATGTTGTTGTTAATGTTAATTATGATACAAGAGACTCATAGATAATATTTATAAAATGTTTCATTTAAAATACTTAACATTTCAGGCTTATTCCCCTACTTATATATAATTATGAAGGTTTTGTTTCCATTTCATATTACATTTAGGTACTACGTACATTACCATACTTAATTATTAAACGTACTTAACGTTTACTTAAAACTTTATCA